TATGTATTTATGGATCTACCGAGTTAACATTCTCACTGACTCGAAAAATGGAGGAGCAATTTAATTTTCTGTTATTTTTTTTCTGTGCTACTCATTATCTTCGCCTATTGTGATCCGATTAAATACTTTTTTTTTTAATTTTTATTAATAAGGTTTACTTCGTAATTGATTCACTATAGACGTAGTACAACGTAATCAAATTCACAAATAAGCATATCTCATCGCCCCGTGACTGTATATTTTAACTGACTTCAAAGAGACTGAGATTCTCAATTCAGTTGTATATATGTTTGTTACCCCATAAATACGTCTCTTATAAACCGATTTGAGAAATTCTTTTTTTTATCTGAAAAGATTTATTTACAGATTTTTCCCGTATAAATGTTATCAAAATCGGTCCAATAGTTTGGTGTTTAAACCAAAATAACTGGTTTCGCCACAATTGAAGTCGATTTTGTTTGTGAAACAAATCAATCCTAATTATTAGTATATCTTACGCAATATCTTTATCACATATTAAACTGTAGGGTATCCAAATTCAATTCAGAATCGAACAAATTTGAAGATTATTTTTTGGAGTAAATTATCATTTAAAGAAAATACAAACAACAATTATGTTTTAAGAGACGTCAGAGACTCACTCAAGTCTTGTAGTTTATTATTTATTTTCTTCTTATTATGGGCTATAAATTTAATTCCACTTATCGCTAACTTGACGACCTTCATTATTTGTATTTTATAAGCTCTGCGCCGTTCGTCTCAAACGAGACTTTATGTTTAAACTATTTTAATAATAAGTATTATTAATTATTATAAATATTACTAATTCGTTCTTACCCTTACTTTTCCTCTCGATCCTTATATTTGATAATTTATTTCCTCATTTTTTACATCTTAGCACCCTAATCACTCAAACATACATCATGTAATCGAGGGAAAGAGATTGCTAATAATGGGGTCCAATTGCTAGTAATATACCCTATTAGATCGGCCTCCACGCAGTCCCCTCTGAAAACAGTCGCGGTAAATTACTGTTGCATTCCTCACGAAGGGCCAACTGACCTGCTTTCATTTTCATTTGTCATCTCTTACTAGTGCCCCGACAGAAAATACTAATAGCGCAGGTGGAATTACCATTCCATATTCACCCATTTAAAAAAAATCGTCGTAAAATTTAATTATATACATAGTATTCGGTTTGGAAAAACATATAGGCTTCTTCTTATTCCAGCCACGAAATGTTGTATAGAAACTTGTCTGAAACATACATATGTATGTATATACATACATATATATATACATACATATCTAAACATCTTTCTATTCTATGAATATTCTTTTGGTATCTTTCTATTTTACAAGTATTCTCTAATTTGGAATGTATTAACCATCGATTACCATTATATCAACAAAGCATTAAAAAAATACGAAAACCCATTTCAAGAGTTAAACGAGGCCTTTGTAAACAGGGCGTTAATCTTCCTTTACAATACCCATCAAACATCCCAGAATAAAGATACACTGATCGACAATATATTTGTACAGGGCACAATTGAGAATACACAATATATAAAAAGTAAATACCTAAATACACGAGAATAAATTTACAACTCGGATTGTAGGTACTCATTATCTACTTTTTTTATACTTAACTTTAACTTAACTTAGAATGGCAATCAAGCTGACGGTCCACCTGATGAAAAGTGGTAACCGTCGCCGAGTGTTATTCCTCTGTACCCAGTAAATTCATGCCCTATCCCACCCTTCAAACCGAAACACAGCCATGCAAACACAACTGCTTCACGGTTGAAACACGAATGGGACAGAGGTACCCAAGCAATCGACTTTTGTACAAAGCATAATATATAGGAAGATTGCAAACATATTAGACCATTTTTGGAAAACGATATAGAGATGAGAGGGCTCATGTTCCAATGAACATGGCATTGGCAAGAGAGGTCAATACCTCTCTTGCCAATGTCGATTGAAACATGCTGTTTTACTCAAGAACAGTCACATATACTTTAGTTTTTTTTTTTTTTTGCTTTTTATTAACACCTAATTCATTTATCATCATAAAATTTCTTATCTCGAGACTTCTTCAATGAATTCTTTAGTATAATTTTTACTAGAGGAAGACTTTATAGAAAAATTTGCTTGGACACCTGTGTCCCATTTGTATTTCTACCGGAAAGCAGTTGTGTTTGCATGGCTATGTTTCAGTTTGAAGGGTAGGATATAGCAGTGAATTTACAGGGTAGGAATAACACCTGAGTCCTCAGGAATAAAATGTAAAGGGGGATATCATGGGGGAAACAGTATACTCTGTTATGTCCATGGTACTGCTCATGTCTATAGACGATGGTTACCACTTTCCATCAGGTGGGCCGACAGCTTATCTGCCATTCTAAGCTGTATAAAAAAAATAAGCTCCCTTCAACCTAATTATTTTTATTTGTTACAATCAATAGAAATCCATTTGTGACCCGCTAATTCACTGGATCATTTTTCACCGCACCAGTGTAATTAATTAATTATATAAAACAAATGTAATTAAAAGTATTTCCAAATGAGATTACACAGTCAAAATTTATTATCATTAATATAATATTAAAAATTCTCAAATGATAAATAAATTCCTTCATCTTGAACTCTAAAATCTTTCATCGCACCTTTCAAGATGTTGGGCGAAAAGTACCCTATAGGTTTTTATGACCAGTCGGTGAACTGAGTGCGCAAATTAAGAAGGTAATAATGTGTTTACATAGTCATACCTTTTTTATAGCTAAGCCGGCTCAAAGCTTGAATTGTTCGAGTGTAACGTATATGCGCTACACTACATTACATTATATTGTAATTGTTTGTATCATAGTAAATATACATAGTATAAAACAAAGTCACTTCCCGTCTGTCTGACCCTATGTATGCTTAGATCTTTAAAACTACGCAATGAATTTTAATGCGATTTTTTTTATTAGATAGAGTGATTCAAGAAAGGTTTATATGTATAATACATGCATAGTATAGTAGAGAAATACTGATAATTTTATCATACTTATAAATAAACGTTACGATAAATTAAAAAAATATATATTCAAAATTGTATTCTGTAGTATATTTAGAATCAGAATTACACCCGTGCGAAGCCGGGGCGGATCGCTAGTCGCTACTGAAGTAAATATATATATATAATATATATATATATATATATATATATATATATATATATATATATATATATATATATATATATATATATATATATATATATATATATATATATATATATATATATATATATATATATATATATATATATATATATATATATATATATATATTAAATTACTGATTTCTATTCTAACATTTCTAAAGATTTTATCAATTGAACACAAATTTATTACTGAATCGCAAGAAATATTTTCCTGAACGGAGAATTCAGAATTAATTTGTTTACTTCCATTTTAGCAAACTTAGTAAGAGCGATTATAAATTAATAAAATGATAGCGGTTAACAAGTGAAGACAAATTAAAGGGTTTCCTCGGACTTTTGTAAACGGTTTAAATTTTAATACCTGCGCTTACTGACTTCCATTAAGTAGAAATGTTTTATGCTATCTTCATTGTATATACAATCAAATAATTTTTTATATATATATATAGAAGAATATATATATATATATATATATATATATATATATATATATATATATTCAATATCAGATAAGTTACCATGACCATATCAGCGGTTAACTACCCCATTGCTGAACAAAGGCCTTCCTCTATTGCGGGGTTTTTCCAGTAGTTGCCACGCTTGGCAAGCAGGTTAGCAATCGTAGCTAGGTTTGGTGTCGTGTAAAGAGGGGCAATAATAATAAAATAATAATAATAATAAGTGAAATTTAAAAAATAATAATAATATAATAAACAATAAAAAAACAGCGGAATAAAAACACACTCTGGGTTTATCCGTCACTGCCCAAACATAGTCTCTCGCATAGTCACTTACCTACTTAGTAAATAGATTTAAAAAATTTTCTACATTTCTGAGAATGTAACATGTTATATGTATGATCATGAATGATGAATACAATTGTGAGCATACTCAATAGTAGTATACTCAGTAGTAGTAGAGTATCTTTAATAGTTTTAAATTTCATCAAAATGACTGTCATCCCGTCAGTCACATTTTTGCCTAAACTCAAGAATTCCAGACATAACTAAATAGCTGTTTTGTGTTTTAAATAAGTGACTCATATCTCTGTCTTTGCCTCTCAAGATTATAATGACTAAAATAATTTTAAGTGTTATTTATATTTACCTTACCTTTCCTATTTGTGACGCTCGTCCTCTTACATCTTCGTGTAAAGTTTCACGAAGGTCGGGTTGATGCTGCAAAAGTTTCTTTAATGTGATGTTCGAACGCGTTTGGCCTCGATCTTATTTTAGACTACAAGTTCAATGCTGTGACATAAGAACAAACTAATCTAACAAGTATATACATATATCATTTTAACCACGCACACTTGGGGGGAAAAGGGATTGTTAGTAATGGGGTCTAATAGCCCCATTACTAGCAATATACCCTCTCAGGTTGACCTCCACGCGGTTTCCCCCGGGTTGGTTATCATGTTTAATTCTTGTCAAATTCATCATGGTGGGCCTACTAACCTGCATTTATTCGCATCTTCCACTGGTACCTCGTCGGTGTATACCGATAACGCGGGCGGGGTTACCAATCCATTTTCACCCATTAAAAAAAAACCACGCACACTTAAAACTTAACTGTAAAAAAATGGTTATAATTTGTAAACACATTTAACCTAGTAGCTCATTGTCTTGCATGAAGAATGCGTAAATGACATTGTTTTTCTTTAAACAATAAAGCTTCACAATGATTTCTATCACCCCTGAACCAGGCGAATTTTGTTATATATTCTGAGTACTATATATTCAATTATTCATTCCGCATAATTATTATATACTTTTTGTGTAAATAGCTATGATGCGGCGCGGGTCGATGGCAATTGCCGGCGGCGGCGAGCCGCTGATCGTGGTGGAAGAGAGCGGGTCGGAAGATGCGGAGTCGTCTCCCCGCTCGTATGCACCAACCCGCGGTCTTTCCGTCGACCAGGAGTCACCCCCAGATCCGTACCATCTGTCTCCGTGGCGTGATACACGCAAGCACTCACTGCCTACCCCTTCGTGCACCACTGGACCTACAGCTAGCCAGGTTTGTATAATTCATCATCATTATCATCATATTAGCCATTAACTGTCCACTGTTGAACATAGGCCTCCCCCATAAAGGGAAGTTTTGCCAGTAGATGTCACACTTGGCAGGCAGGTTGACAAGCGCAGTTAGCCTTTGGTGATGTTTTAACCGAGACGTTGCCTATTTCTCGACCATTACGTTCCCTAAGTCACCTCTTACGACACCCATGGGAAAGGAAGGGGTGACCTATTCTAATCCAGGACCATACGGCATTTAATTTACATAAAAGAAAAAGACTGTACTATTCGCTTTAAGTCTTCTTTAAGTATTTCTTTGGTAGGTAACTTATTTTCATGCTATGTTTCAGCTTCAAGTGTATGATCGAATAATTATCATCAGAGCCTTACAATCTGTTGCAAATATTTACCATCAGATAAACTATATTTTTATTTTAGAATTTAATTCCCTTTACTTACATATTTTAAAGGAATTGTATCAAAAAATTATATTATATTATAAATTATATAAACATCTATAAGATGTACTAGAAGATTTGACATTGCGATCTAAGAAGAGTTTAATAAATACTTTAATAGTGAAAAAAACTTCCTAGTGGATTTTTCCGCAATATAAAATTCTTGATAAAGAACATACTAAGATTTCTTCAAAATCGGGAACATGCATGTAACATCCACATGTTACGGACGACCATTGACTGCAGTTACTGTATAGTTGTGTTAATTTTGTAGTAAAAACAAAAATATTTTATCGATAAACAGGTCCGGCGACTGTCCGAACGAGGCGAGAGCGCTGCTCGAGAAGCCCGTGAAGCGGCTTTCCTGGCCACTTTAAGTCAAGTTACGCCGCAACCAGGCGGTCGAAGGTAGAAAGCTTATCACCACTGATACTTTTATATGCCATATTGAGAGAAATTCATTTCTTTTTTCTTTTTAATTAATTATTGTTGTATCAGCCGTTAACTGCTGAACGTAACCTCCCTCGTAAGGAGGGTTTTGCCAGTAGTTGCCATGCTTGGCAGGTGAGTTGGCAACCGCAATTTGGCTTTTCATGATGTTTTAAGAGAGACGCTACTGCCCATCGCTCCACCATAAGCACTTATTATTATTAATTCAGACACTAGATTTAATTATATGAATGAAGCTTGATATTATCTGTTTATTAATACTTTATTGATCAACCTTACAAAAACGCAAGATCCAAGACAGACTTAATGCTATACTTGTATAACATTCTCTTCCAAACAGCTTTATTAACGTGATCGCTTATTGTCACTTTTATAGAGAGAGCGTTTGACAGTAATATTTATCAAACACTACTTTATGATCTATGATATATGGCCTGGGATAGAGCTGGCTGGAGGAAGCATGAATTAGTTGCACCGACAAGAGGAAACTCTTAAATGAAAAGAAGACTTTATGATCGTCTCCTTTTATTCAATAAAACTATGAAAATACCTACATGCAGCGGTATTTCATCATTATTTTGGTTTGTTCTCAGACATTCCGTAGTAACAATATCGCGAGTGCCCCAAGCGTTGTTCGGTCGGGGCCGCCGGGAGTCCATAGCTGCATTCCCGGCTTTGGCGCGTCGTAGAGATTCTGGTTCTGGTTCTAAGAAATGTAAGTAACTATGAATCTAATCTTACTAATTTCTAGATATTTAAGAAGAAATTATGTGAGCAGTCTTAATAAAAACAATAGTAGCCATAACAATATTTTTTAGAAATTTTGTCTGTATGTTCGTTCCGGCGTCACGCGAAAACTACTGCACCAAATTGGTTGCGGTTTAAACAGTTGTGTTTCTGAACATCTAGTTATAAACAGTATATATTTTACCTTGATACACTATCTAAAAGGGGTATATTTTATTGGTTTTCCTACTTCGGAACTCCACGCGTACGAAGTAGCGGACAAAAAGCTAGTCATGAATATAATATATGTATTCAAAGACACTTGTAAACATAGTATTCAAACAACTGTATAGATTTTTATGAAAATGACACTTTTAGCCTAATCCTATCTATTTAGTGACATGTAACAGAACAAGTATACCTTTTTTTTCAACATTCTTTTTCATCCTCGAAATTTTATAGCATTATTTTTGGGTGATTAAAAGAACAAAGTAATAGTGCAAGAGAACAATAATTTTATAAATTTTATATTTTTTCGCCTAGCCACCGTCATAATCGTACCTATATCATCCACTTATGAGAAACACATATCCAGCAGTGAACGGTGAGATATTATTGAGTTGTGATAAGTTAACACTCGTAGATCCTAACCGACGTGAATATAGCCGTGACTTAAAACTAGTATGATTTATAAAAATAATTATAAAAGAATACATTGATAAACTCAATTTAAATCCATTCGAATTCAATTACTTTAATATTCTTCAACAGTATCGACAAATATCGATGAAAGATATATTATGTCATATGGGTTGTTTATCTATTATATATAATTTATATCAATAAAAACAAATATTAAATTTTGTATATTTTATCATCTGGAAGTTGTTAAATAATTACTTTAATATACTTCACGAAATACAAAAATGAATTAATTAAAGACATATTGATTGAATTATCTGGCATTTGTATATTTTCGTGGTATAATTAGTTATGATAATAAAAGTTAAAATTTTAGTATTTAGTATTCAAGTAAGATAATGAATCTATATGACAACATAACATTAGAAACAACCTGACATGTAATCTAACTTTTGCAAATAAAATTGAAAAGAAATTGGAGTATGACGCAAAAATAACGAATAACAGCACTCTGATTTTAATTAAAATTAATCAACGCTCACCGCAATCTGGTTGGCTGAAATATTGGAATAGACCAAATGCTTTCGTTTTACATTATCAATTAATTTACAGGATAACGATGTATTTTAATATCGTCAGTATTGTACTAAGTGTACATTGGGTAATTGTTTTAACTCCATCTATATTTCAAGATTGTCCTAAAATATTATAGATGTAAAAATAATTTATAATCTACTATTTCGTTATATATTGATCGCAGGTCCACCAGCCACAGACACGCTTGGCAGTACTCATAATCTACAGCTTGATATTATGGACGACATTGTCCAAGCTCGGAAAGTGCGTATGCGTTTGTGGAATACTTCTAATGAACGCGTTTGCGAAGTACAACCTCTCGACGAGCGATCACCGATGAGTGGCTCCGTAAGATATACAAACCGAGGACGCAGGCATTCAGATTACGTGGGCTCGCCGTTGCCGCCGATTCCTGCACGTCGCCGCGCGTCTGAGATGCCTCCTGCACCCCCCATTCCACCACGGTCGGGTGCGGGTGTCGTGTGCACCGACACAGACTTGCATCACATGCTCAACGCTCTCACATCATCTGCCACTGAGATAGATCGTTGCGGAAGACCTGAGCGAACTAGGCGTCTAGCAGATATGCGTTCAGTCAGTTTTGATGCCTCCACGCTCCGAGACAACCCCACAGAGTCTGGTACTACATGGTTCACAAGACGACACCAAACATTAGCTACTAAAAAGAAAGAAAGTGAGCCGAAAAAAGGAAAGGTAACCTTCGCCGCAGATTCAAAACAAGGCCCCGGAGATGTTGCTGCTGTAGTCTGGGATAAACCGTCTGGGTCGGTTGTGGACGCCAGCGCTCTCGGGAGTGCAATAGAAGTATTTCTTAGAAAGAGCGGCGCCGTGATTGCCGATCCTAGTGCCTCTTCATCAGGTACAGCTACTGTAAAGGAGCCAGGGGAGGTTCGAACTAAGCCACGAGACATTCCAGGACCGAGCCGACGCTCTGAGGGGGAACGCTGGTACACAAACAGACCCGATGAGGAGGAAACGGCGGAGGGTTGCGACGCAACTCTTTGCTCATCGTTAAAAGACCTTTTCGTGTAGACGCTATTGTAGCGTTTAAAACTCTTGTAAATTATTAATTACCTATAGTTGTCAAATACAGGCTCGTTTCTTAAAGAGCGAGTAAGAGGTAGGTACGATCGTGTTACGTACCAACTTTATGAATCTTTCAATGTGATAGACTACGCGCCGGCGCCGGTCGTCCTGAGTCGACTCACGACCGACGCCTGCTCTGCGTGAAATTATTTTTAGAGTAAATTCTATTTTCATTGTAAATTTTTTGATATTAGCGATCAAAATATTGACTTATTGTTAGATAGAGAATTATATTCGTGATCGAAGGGCGCGCGTTTTCCACGCCGAGTGCAATCTCCCACCGCGCGCCTCACCCCACCCCATCTCGTTCGACAATCTGTGTCTTGTAATCCAGTGTTACCATTAAAACAATTAAAACTTTAAAATATAGCAGAAAAGTATGGAGGAGACGTTGGGAGAAACGTACGCTTAATAGAAAAAGGCGACTTCTAGTCGTCTTTTATCAATAAAATTTTTATCGATGTTATTTGGCATTTTCATTGCATTATTACTTTTCCCTGTAGCATTTCATTACAAAAATATAAGTATGGAGCTGTTATAATTGTAATAAAGTAAAGTAAAATTAAATTATGTAGTTGTTTAGTATACCTACAATAGTCCTCCATACATTCCCTTTAGAATTCCATACTGAAACTAATACTCGTATAAAATGGTTTTTCTCGATGTTTTGTATCATTACGGGACGCGCTGATAAGATTCGCTGTGAGCTCATTACACAAAGCGTATTCAGCATATTGCTATTTACAGAGATGACAAAGCCCGTTGTAAGCAAAAAAATCTACGTCATTACTGCAGCTGAAAGTTATTCTCTATATGTGCGTATCAACTCAATTCGGAAAAATATTTACGATTGTCCAAAGACTCAAGTTCATAATAACTTTTCGGTGAATAAGCACCTTTGTATTGTAACCGGTTTGATAGACACTTACTACTAGAACTTTTCCAATTACTTAAGTCTAAAGACGAATTCCCATAACTACACTGTATTCGATACACGTATGTCATATTATTGATTATCAATTCCAAACTCATATACTACGAGTATAACAACAATTTCTGAAACTGATAGTTGTGAGATTACTCAACTTCACCTTAATAATGTTATACTAAACACCTATGAAATATATTAATGGAATCAATTATTTTTATTTTGACTCTGTTAAACGGCGGTGCATTTGTTTTCCATATACATATATATATATTGATTCTACCATGTACTTTATTTTACGTTTTGTTTTAAATAAACAGATGTATAACATGGGTTTGTTTCTTTAAAAATCTTTCATAAATAATAGAATAACCTAACTTTTTATAACTTTTTAGACCGTGTAGTTAAATATAACCGAATCCCCAGGTCCAGTAAAATAAAATTGTGCAATGTCTTTAATGATTAGATCTCTTTAAGATATTCTTAATAGAGTTGATTTAGTAATGTAACTGAATACTTAATACACAGGAAAAGGAATATTTTTATAAGATAATAACATTAATAATACAATTTGTATAAAATTATTAAACTATAACCAAAAAATAATTTTCATAAATCAGTTATTTTCGCTTGCTGATTTGATTTGATTTGATCGCTAATTCGAGTATCGAGTTGATGATTTGACTTCAAACCCAGACAATGCTCTTCTTCGAAGAGAAAAATCGCTTCTTATTGGTAGTGGCATTTACTATTATCACTTTAACCAGTAATAGCAACGTATGAAGAATACCTACTGTTGAAGTCACAGTGTATTCTGTGATGTACGTAATGCTGATCATACCTGTAGGCAACGATTACTACTTTTTATTTTTTTATTTAGATGAACTGTTTATTTGTTTGCATTCTGAGTTGTTTAAAACAGTAACTTGGCCATGCACTAAAGAAAATCAGAAAAAATATAAATCTTTATACAATAGTCTGCCTTTCTCTGTCCCACTCATATTCCTGCTCAAGCACAAAAACGTGTCGCTGTGTTTTCATTTAAAGACAATGAAATTACATGGTACAGAGGACATACACAGACATAAAGGCAATACCTAATACATAATTCCTTAGAATTGCAACATATGAGACTCCATAGTTTTTTTTTTATTTATTATTATATTAGGCTGTGGCTAGAAGCTATCAGACAAGTGCCATAGAGTAGGTAATTTGTGATATTTATGATGAAGTTTTTGTGAGGTCTTTCGTTATTTTTGTTCCAACTTTTAGTCATCAACTAGGTTGTTATTCTAAATAAAGATTTTCAAAGAAATATGTTTTACTTTTTAAACATGCCAAAATAAAAAATACTAGTTATTTTATTCTCTACAGTGTTGTTTTTTTTTCAAGTAAGAATACGAGTTTTTTTTTTTTTTATGGGTGAAAATGGTATGGTAACCCCGCCTGCGCTAACGGGATACGCTGGTGGAGCACCAGTGAAGGCTGATAGATGAGAACGAAAACAGGCCAGTTAGCCCATCATGATGAATTCATCAGGAATTAGCCATGATAGTTTCCAGGGGGAACTGCGAGGAGGTCGACCTGGTTATATATTGCTAGCAATGGGATTCTCAGTCTCCATTACTAACAATCTCTTTCCCCCCAGTAAGAATACGAGTAGTGTACTCTCCAATACTTTGGTATGCATGCATGTAATGAAATGGTACCAGTGGAAGATTAAACGATGAGGACAACATGAGATCAGCTTTTTTACTTTTTTATTAATGGATTATAATAGAATGGTACCCCATCTGTGCTGTTGGTATTCGCTAGAATAATGAAAAATAAGGATGAATGTAGTTCAATTGGCCCACTAGGACTTCAATAGGAATTAATCTGAGGTATCAGGAATTTCCGGAGTGATCACATGGCGGTCATCAACTTGACAGGGTTTACTGTTAGCAATGGAGCCTGGAGCCGCTACTTTCTGTTTCTCTTCCCTCACAACAGGTAAGCTAAACTATTGTAATATATTTAATAAGAATTAACCATGATATTTGACTGAAGAGAGAGACTGTATGAAGATTGTCTTGATATTACTGGCAATGGTAACTAGAAACCGGCCTCTCCCCTTCCCTGTAATTTCAACTTGGCGAAAATATAAAGGTCGTTGATTTTTACAAATAACTCATTTTTACCCGTGACTTCGTCTGCATAACCGGGATATGTTTACTGACCGGGACAAAAAGTAGCTACATTTATGTATATACATACCAGATTTCATAGTGATTGGGTAAACGTTAAAGTGCTATAAGATGCTAGTGCAAACAAAGAAACTGACTTTACATTTATAAATAAGTGTAAGTATCATCATCATCATCATCAAATCAGCTGTTTAAAGGTCATTATTATTATTATTTCAGCCGTTAACTGTCCACTGCTAAACATAAGCCATCCCCATAAAGGGAGTTTTGCCAATAGTTACCAAGCTTGGCAGGCAGGTTAGCAACCGCAGTTAGACTTTGGTGATGTTTTAAGACGGACGCTACTACCCATCTCTCGACTATTAACTTCTCTTAGTCGCCTCTTACGACACCCATAGGAAATGAAGAGGTGGCTCATTCTATACCGAGATCACACGACAAGTGTAAGTATATATGTACATAATTAAATAATAATACCATTGCAGTTATATCATTAAAACCAATGTTAAAATATGAAAATTCTAACCTATAAATAAGCCGAGTGTCTGCCGCATACCATTTTATATCATTAATATAATATTCAGGCTCTTTGTCGGGCCCTTTCTCTCACTCCGCTGAAGCTTATTCCGTTAATAGAAACCCTTTTAGTTATATAAAACTCCCAAAATAAAATTAAAAATGTATGTAGTGTCTCATGGGTTCAAGTATTTTAAAAAATTTATTCCATCTAAACATAATATAATAATAAAACTTATATAAATTGCAATTAATTTTTTTATACCACAAACAAGCAAGCAAACAAACATACTGCCCGTCTGATGGTAAACGATTACTGTAGGGAAAGAAAGGATTCTTAGTAATGAGGACCAGTCCCATTGCTAGCAATATACTCTGTCAGGTCGACCTCCAGATAGTCCCCCTGGAAACCATCGTGCTGAATTCCAGGTGTATTCATCATGATGGACTTACTGACCTGCTTTTTCATTTTCACCTGTCATCCCTCACTGGTACCGCGCCAGCGTATACCGTTAGCGCAGACGGGGTTACCATTATCATCCATTAAAAAAATTACATATTTATATATTATATACGTATATGATGCAGCTTTTATCTCTTTTTTTATACCACTGAGGTGTATATCTGCATCATATACGTATACATATCTAAAATGTTTACTGCCAAGTTAAATATTGAAGACAGAAGTTAAATATGCAAACTTTTAAATAGATCAGATAGTTTAGTTCCTTCACAGAGATGCTCAGTATACTAAGTTGTTTAAAGTATTCTAGTGAAGAAGTAAATATCGTACAGCCCGGGCACGAAACTATATACCGGTGGTAAAGTTTATAAAGCGCTTCAAGTTTAAAGTCAATCTTGGAAGTATACTGTATAAATAATAAATTGCTACCTGAAATATGTAAATATTTTAACTTCTGTATATTAAGTATCCTATGTGTTAAGACATTGATGGGCATGTTGTCCTGGCAATAGAATAGGCCACACCTTCCTTTCCCGTGGGTATCATAAGAGACGACTGAGAGAACTCAGTGATCAAAGGATGAGCAGGTGTGTGTCTTTTAAAACGTCTCTAAAGCCAAACTGCGGTTGCCAATCTGCCTGCCAAACGTGGCAACACTGGCAAAACCTCCTTAGGGTGAGGCTTATATTCAGCAGTGGACAGTTAAAGGCCGACATGATGATGATGATGATATATTAAGATAAAATTTAATCTACCCGTGTATCAAATTGTATACATATTATTACAGTTGTTTAAGTGTGATTGACTAACAAACATACAAACACCTAAACATCTTTATAAACTTTCTGTTATACCACTGAGGTGGAAAACATGCATACGGCCCATCTGATGGTAAGCGGTTGCCGTAGCCTACGAACGCCTGCAATACCAAAGGTATTACGCGCGCTTTGCTGACCCTGAAGAAACCCCTTTTAAAGAATCCTATGCTGTAGTCTCTTGGGAAAACCTCGGTAGGAAGCTCATTCTATAACCTGAGTCTTCGTGGAAGAAAACATCTCTGAAACCGCGTTGTACGCGACGATTTAAACAGTAAACTTTCATATTTATAATATAATAGAATAATATTAATGGAATTTTATCTTGTTTACATTTGAGAAGCATTCAAACAATTTGATTCATCTTAAATGACTTACCTGCTGGTAACAAATTTACGACGTACGTATTCCTTTTATTACCAAGGGAAAACCTAAGAAAGACCAATAACCATTTGCTCCGTGGGGCGTTGCGTTTTAACAGCGACTAGGTACTAGGTAATAAAACTTTATGATCATTCCAACTGTTGCAAAATTACTTATTCAATCAACATAATTACATGATGATATTCATTGGTGACTGTTATTTTACTGATTCTATTAATCTATTTTCCCATCCTTACACAGAGAACAAGTATAAGTTTCTATCTATAGATAAATCTTTTTCTTTTTGCACACAGAAATAATAAAAGATAAATTAATAGAGAAGTAATATATAATAAGGCGTGATTTTCCCTTAAAAAAATCATTTTGTCCCACATCATCAATAGAAATCAGACTACTATTTATAGGTATTACTACTATTTACCTGTAATCGCGTCACATTATCCCAATCCTGAATTCAAAATATACTAACTATGTTAACAACGTGCAAATTTAATCACTTATTCCATTCATCATACAGCCACGACACAGTTATTTTTAACTAATGTGGCTGTTATCGAACACTACCCTACAATTGTAATTTTTTATGGTTCCAATAAATACAATTTAATTTTTTTTTAATTTTTAATCATCATAACTCACACCTCGTACATACTTACATACCCGAACAATCTTAGTTTTCTACCTCAGATAATGCATTAGAATTTTTTAACAATCCTACCGTATATATATATATATATATATATATATATATATATATATATATATATATATATATATATATATATATATATATATATATATTTATTTATGAGCCAGCAATTGAGTATCAAATATATAAATAGTCAATAGACGAAATAAAATTTTAAAAGGTTTATTTCATCAATTCACTATTTATTAGATAAAATAACATTTCAATATATGTATATTTTGTAATATTTAGTAAATAGGCCGATATTTATGTTAAGAAAAATTATACAATTTCTTTTTTGTGCATTCGATATTAAAATTCTGTCAATGCAATAATCGTAACAATAAAATTTTTACTCATTTACATCATGAAATTTCTACTCATTTACATCATGAAATTTCTACTCATTTTTATAACCTTACAATTGAAATTTTATTCCACAACAAAACTAGTTCAATTATTGCAAAACCAGTTATTTTTATTTAAAAACTGATCTACTGTACCGATTTTAATAAAATTTCTATCACCAATAGAACCAATCTGAAAGTGCTTTCAGGTAAAAAATAATTTTCCAAATCGCCTTATAATAACGGAGATATGAAGTAGCAAATATAAAAAATAACAATGTAATTATTGTGTACAATAAAGTAGAAATAAATAAATA